CACAGACGGGGTGGTATGCTGTTGGCTTGAAAGGGGGAAGAGAGGCATCCACAGCAGGTTAAGAGGACAAGGTCTGGAAAGGGACGGGAGAAGATCCACAGGCAGAGAGGCTGAAGAAAAGGCGACAGAACAGGCAATACGCCGACAGAACCAGTAAAGAGACAGGCTAAAGGAGGAAGCAGGCTGGCAGCACTGTGGGAAACAGACCTCAAGGAAAGGGGGTGGGGGAAGAAGGTCACAAAGAGACAGGAGTGGCTGTGTGATTTGGGTAGGCAGAGAATAGAAAGGTACCCTGGGGGCTGGGAGCGGGGGGGGGGGTCAGGTAACCAAAGGGCAGCAAGTTATGAAGTTCACACGAGGATGTGAACTAGCCAGCCCTTACTGTGGCTGCATGGAGTAGCAACACCTGCCTGTTCCCAAAAGGCAGCCACAGATACACCCTTTAGATCTTGATAGGCTTTTGGAAGCGGGGGGGGGGTCAGGTAACCAAAGGGCAGCAAGTTATGAAGTTCACACACGGATGTGAACTAGCCAGCCCTTACTGTGGCTGCATGGAGTAGCAACACCTGCCTGTTCCCAAAAGGCAGCCACAGATACACCCTTTAGATCTTGATAGGCTTTTGGCATCATGCTTTGCAATCCAGCAATCTGCTCAGAGCTTCCAAGGTGCGGCCTCCACCGCCTCCTCCCCGCCCACAAGCTTACCCATAGGTGGCAAATCTCAAAGGCTCGCCCAAGTCGAAACTCCTCGAAGGGCCTTTCTTTTTCCGGCTCTTCTCAATGATCTGAGACAGGAGGCTCCGAGAGCCGACAGAAGGGCACTGTGGGGGAGAGAGAGGGAGAGGAGATCAACGTCTGGGGCCAAAACCAAAAAGGTCATGTAAGCAACTCATTCCAGGCAAGGGTGGTGCTCAGGCCCAGGCACAGAAAAGGGTGCACATGGCATCTTAAAGAAAACAGAAGGGCATGCCTTTGAACTTCTCCGTGGTAAATTTGTTTTCCCTGCCCACAGAAAGGGAAAGTGTAAGGGAGAAGATTCTCACTTTAGCAGCTCAAGGAGAAAATGTTCTCTGCAGGCAGGGAGGTTTTACTTTTCTTCTCCAGGGTGGGTTGTTAATACAAAGGTGAAATCCCCCACCTGCAGCCCAAAAGGAAGTCCCAAGTAGCCACACCATATGACCTATCTCCATGTGTAGGTCAGCTCTGACTAGCTTCCCTTGCCGCTCCCCTCCACCCCCCACCCCAAGCCACACCAGTCAGCCTGCCCAAAAAGACCAGTAAGGATTTGTGCCACAGTGGTTCACGACAGAAGCAGCTCCATTCAACAACCTCATCTTGGACTTGAGAGCATCGAATGGGCTCTGCTGGACCACACCAAAAGGATTACCGAGCTCAGCATCCTGTTTCTCACCATGGCCAATCAAACACAAGTGTAACGGAAGACAAGTAACACATGAAAGCAACTACCCTTCAGTGTTTTTTTATCCCAAGTACCTATTCTTCAGGTGTACTTCAGAATATGGAGGGCCCATCAAGCTCTCCAGACTAGTCAGATTTGTTCACACAGAACGAGATGGGCTGCCTCACAGGGTGTCTGTTGTGGGGAGGGGAAGGGAAAGGAGTTTGTAAGCCGCTCTGAGACACCTTTGGGTAGTGAAGAGCGGGGTATAAATCCAATCTCTTCTCTTCTTCTTCTTCTGCCACCACCATCCTGGTATAACAGCTTCTCAGCCAGAAGGGAACATCGCACCACAATAATGCGTCCACCCTCCACACCGGGATCTGGCAGGGAAGCCCAGGGCCCTTGGAGGGGCCTGTTCTATGCATTGTGGGGCTCCTTCCCTTGCTCTTAACGTGCTGTAATCTAGGGGTTTCCTCCATGATTACATACATAGATCTAGAAGCATAAGCCAATGGAGAGCTTATTACCTCCAGCCAAACGATTGCGTAAAAAGAGTTATTACTCACACAGGGAGGGACATCATAAATCAGAATACGTGCAAGGAACATGATTGGGAAATATCCTTATAGAATAATGGCTCTCAAGGCAGGGGCTACCACGCAGGGGTAAAGCAGGGGCTTTGCGTTCAGAACATCCCAGTATGGCTGGCACCGTCAGGATTGCAAGCAGCGTGGTCAGGAAAGAGCTCCACCCCCGGAGGGCCACTGCCAGTCAGTGGAGACAGCTCTGGGCTAGACAGAGCAGAGCTCCGTGAGGTGCATCACCTCCTCCCACAGCTTTTCTCCCATTTCTGTCTTAAGGAAGCAGAAGGTGAAGCAACTTCTTCATGCGCAAGAAGCCAGAGGAGGGCCCAAACACCCCAACTCCCACACAGGAAAGATTAAAAAGATCACGTGCCAAGGCAGCGGCGCAGACACCAGTCCCCGCCATGCAAGGGTGTTGCATTTGGCAGCCTCGCTCAGTGACATGCTTCTGCTTGTGGAAAAGCTCAAGGAGCTGCACCTGCTGGTGCTTAAGAGACATGGGTAGCTCCCAACAACCAGAGACATCCCGAACATTTTGCTCCCACATTCCCTTCGTGCCGCATACCATAACATCATGGATCCATGCCGCTGGGAGGAAAGACTAGTAGTCATTATAGAGAAGAGAAGCCAATTATGCTAGGGCAATGATATCTAATCTTCAAAGTGGGCCAGACATCTCTCAGGTGTTTGAGGTACTTACAGAACATGGCAATCATTGGCTGTTAAACCCCGATGGGTAGAACATTGCAAGGCAGCTTGCCCAAACCACCTGAATACTTCTAAATAATCCCAGTTGTCTTGCAGTGTGTTGCTAGAGTTAATAACTCTCCTATCCAACTATAGATCCAGGTGGGCAGCCGTGTTGGTCTGAAGCAGTAGAATTTAGAGTCCAGTGGCACCTTTAAGGCCAATGAAGGTTTATTCAAGGTATGAGCCTTTGTTGGTCTTAAAAGGTGCCACTGGACTCTAAATTTGTTCTATCCAAGTACAAAATCTGTGGACAAGTGTCAACTTTCAAAACCCCAAGAATAAATCTCTAAGCCATGCATGCTTTGCAACAAATCCTAAGTCACGTTTTCCAGGAAACTTTCTTCCAACCAAAAAGGCTAACATTAAGACTTGCCCCTCCCCTTAAACATCCTTACTTGTAAGTAATCCCCATTCAGCATGGTGGGACTTACTTCTCAGTAAACACGAACACACGAAGCTGCCTTATACAGAATCAGACCTTTAATCCAGCAAGATCAGTATCATCAACTCAAACTGGCAGCAGCTCCCCATGATCTTAGGCAGAGATCTTTCACCCCACTGATTACCTGATCCCCTTACTGGGAGATGCCTGGGATTGAACCTAGGACCTTCTGCATACCAAGTAGATGCTCTACCACTGAGCCACTGCCCCTACCTAAACATGCAGCCCCTCCTCAATCAGAAAGCAAGGACACAATGCCAAGTCCCCTTGAACTCAGTGCACCAAATCAGGCACTGAACTGGGGGTTTTTGTGTTTTTTTAAATTTTTTGGATTTATATCCCGCCCTCCCACAGAACAGGCAATACGCCGACAGAACCAGTAAAGAGACAGGCTAAAGGAGGAAGCAGGCTGGCAGCACTGTGGAAAACAGACCTCAAGGAAAGGGGGTGGGGGAAGAAGGTCACAAAGAGACAGGAGTGGCTGTGTGATTTGGGTAGGCAGAGAATAGAAAGGTACCCT